GCGCACACCATAAGACTTGTTGACACCTCCACAATGTGTCTATTTTTCCTCTATACTACCTCATGCTCCAAAAAATATATGGCCAAATCCTTCTTAAAATATTCTCTGGCATTGCCTGATATAAAAATCTTAGTCCTCACCCCCAACTATGTGAGAACCATCTAGTAGAACTGTCGCACCAAAATAGGTACCTCATGACATGACCTCATCAAATATATCTAAGAATACCGAGTGTAATCATCTATAGAAAAAAGAAAATAATGGTATCCACCCATGGAAGAAATATGATAAAGTCCCCATACATCAGTGTAAACAATATCAAAAGCAAAAGAACCTCTTTTATTACTTGGTTTAGAAACATCTCTACAATTTTTTCCCAATAGACAACTTTCACACTCTAGACTAGATAAATGAACAAGCTCAATCAACTTTGGAAACAAACATCTCAATGAACTAAAAAAAAGATGACGCAACTGATTATGCTAGAGCACAATTTGAATCACCAACTCTGACCCACTACTACTGCTACTAACACGGTGGCTCTGATGTCTCAGAATCTGATCTAGAATGTAGATTCCATTCACCATAGGACCACTCCCAATTGTCTCTTTAACTCTAGATCCTAGAAAACCCAATTACCAAGAAGGAAAGTCATTGAATAGTTCAAATTTTTTGTCAGACTACTCACAAAAAAAGATTAGTATGAGTCTGGGAACATGTAAGACAAAGGACAAAGTAATGTCATCAGTCACCCTAACTGTCCCTTTCCTAGGAACAAAAATGAGAACCATCTGTTGTAGAGACTCTATCATTACTAGATCACAACTGGTAAGAACTAAAAAGGGTAGACATTATTGGTCATGTGCTCAGATGCTCTTGAGTCTATAATACAAGGAGGTCCCTCCTTACTTGAGGTGGATGCATAATTTGCAACGGTATATCATATATGAACTACCTATATGAGCAAAGGATGTAGTGTGACTGGCGCCTGTGGCTAGACGAATCCTTCTTACTCATAATCTGTCCTTATTTTTCCAATTAAATTTTGACTGTTGCCATTGCAATGGGCTCCAAGTTGGCTTGGGTAAGAGGTCCTGAAGAGTCTCCAATGGTTGCCACACTTGCATTTCCCTTATTGTTCTTGACCCAAACTGGTATGAAATTTGGATGGAGCTTCCAACAAGTTTCTCTTGTATGCTTAGGCTTCTTGCAGTAGTCACACACCAAGTTTTTCTTATCCTCCCTCCTGATCTCACTACTCCCCCTATATCCATTTGGCTTAGGTCTGACTATACTAACCACAACCGACTAGTCAACCCTTGTCTGTCTCAACATGACATTCCTCCTACTCACCTCTCCAAACATAAAGGCATAAGCTTGAGAAAGAGTTACACTTTCTCTAGAAAGGATGTGTTGCCTAGCAATATCGAATTCAAGGTTTAGTCCAAACAAGAACTCAAAGACCCTATACTTTTCCGCCAACTTCTAATAGGTTGATGCATCCTTCATACTCTCCCAAACCATAGTCTCTAAGTGATTTATTTCCTGCCAAAGTGTTTTCAGCATGGAGAAATACATAGCAAGTGGTTTATCTCTCTGTTTTGTATTAATCACCTAATTCCTTAATTGGTAGGCTCTAGCTAAATTTTGTTTCTGGGAATTGGTCTCAATCAATTATTCCAAATCTCCTTTGTAGTGTTAGCCCACAAAAAATTACATAGCTAAGACATCACCATGTAATTCTCCTGTACCCACTACGAGGAATCTTTATCAAGTTTCTTCTCCTCCCCAGTGATGTACCCCAATTTCCCACAAGCACCAATAGCCATCTTAGCTGATTGTTCCCATTCTAAATAATTTGTACCATCCAAATTTACTGTGGTAATAATCCCTAACTGAAAAGAGTCATCGTACTTCTTCTACCCAGACCGAGGTCATCGGTGGACTTCTACTCAATACTCCAACCCTCCATTTCGACTTCAATCAGGTCAAAAACAAGAAATAATAAGGTAGAAAGCTTCTAAAAATAGATCAATCTCACACACAAGGGTATAAGGACTTTCTAAAGGAAGAAAAACCTACCCACCCAAAGAGAAATCTCTCTCCTCCCACCTTCTCCCACTAGAAAGAAAAGTGAGTTGATCTCTCTAGAGGGCTCTAAAATTGCCAGAAACTGAACCTCCCCCTATAGAAAACCTAGAGGAGTCTAGAAGAGTCTGATCGCCCAATATCAGGTCAAGAATGAATAGTCTAACTTCACTAGGACTCTTCCCCACAGTTCAGTTCTTCTTGGTTTGATGCCAAAACACAGATCACCCTCTTGATGACTGAAACCCACCAAAAACTCCATGAACTGGGAAATCTGAAATAGATCGATCAGCCCTTTATCTCCTCATGCAATCAATTGATCTAGAACTGTATGGACGAACTCCAAGAAACCCTAGTCTTGCTCTAATACCAAGTAGAAATCTGCTGAATTAAAAACTGCAAAGAAAATAATAGTTCCTTGTGGAAGAAGAGAAAGAGAATAGAAGAAGTTGAGAAAGAAAGAGAGAGCAATCCGATCTGGCCACCCTCTCCCAGTGGTATTTATACTTTAAATAAAAAAATAAGTACAATGACTAATATGCCCTTATAGGGCGGCTAACACATAAAACTGCATAATAGAGCCACATATTCTCAAATGTAAAAGGGGTAGAACCTCCATCACTAAGCGTTTCCTTGGCAATGGAAATAGGCCAATGGTCTGAAATCACCCTAGGCAAGGCTCTTGAGACAAAACCTCCCCAATGTGGTTTAGTTCGGAGATTGGACCGAGAGAACTTATAGTATAAAGATGGAAATTCCTTTAGCTCGAAGTCATTAATAAATTGATTGAACTTCCTCATACTTGTGTTGCTTGTCTGTCTTATAACATTGTCGCTTCAGCAAATCAGATGACAATAAAATCACCCCCAAGAACCAAGGTCCATCCCAAAGCCCTCTAATATCACCCAGTTCCTCTCACAGTTCATTTCTCTCTATATATCCATTTGGGCCATAAATATTTGTTAGAATCCATTCAAGCCCATCATTTACTTATCGAAACTTAATGGAGACTATAAACTTACCCACCAATTCTTCCACTCCTATCACAGTCCCCATTCCATAGGGTAACAATGCCACCTGAAGATCTCCAAGATGGAGCAAAAGCCCAGCTAATTCCCCTCCAAATACTTCTGGCCCACTTCCTATCAAATCCCATCAATTTAGATTCTTGAAGCAACACAATATCCAGCTTTTCCTTAGTATTTCCTTAATAGTAGCTCTTTTACTCGGTTTTCCCAAACTAATGTTCCAACTTATAATTTTCATCTCCATTCAACAAATTACTTTCCCCCATCACAGGATCCTTCCTATTTGCACACTCTCTCTCTCTCTCTCTCTACCTTTTCTCCCACTGAGATCCTTGTCCCCTTCAACATCCATTTTTAATCTGAGCACTTCATTCTTTTCCTCTCTTTCCCATTAATCTTATTCTTACTCAAGAAAACTGTCATTAGGATTCTTAACCTTACACCCCAGTTTCTCAACAAGTTCAGACACTGGCTCATCAATCTTGCATCCCCTGTCTTCTTTGCCCCCTCACCCCCCCACTAATAATACCATTAATTGCCACCATACCATTTCCATCACTCCCATCCTTTCTGGCTTCATATAAGTTTTCCTTCGCACTATCCATTTTCAGAATGGTTCTCAATTGACCACCCACTTCTTATGCCTTCAATACCTTCATCTGTTCTCCCTTCCTTTTCCTTCCCTTCCCTTTTTTCACTGTTATCCCTACCTATTACATTCATGGCTTGCAGATTCGTGGGAAATGTAGGACCTAGAAAAGCATAAACCACAACAGGACAACTATCAGTACCCAAAATCGAAATGACAGTCACACCTGGAGGTCCTGGACCAGTAGGAGGGATGGTTGGAGACAGTGTTTTAGACGGAACATCTAACTTGTCCAGTTCTTAAGGCTGGGACTCATACCTCCTCCCCTCTGGTGTTATTGGGAAGCACACCGATACTTGAACCAACATTCTGACTGCTTCCATTATTCTGTTGCCTTCCCTTAATTAGAGCTTTCCCGTTTGGCCTCTGATATCCTCCTCTACTACATTATGAACTTCCTGCCCAGTCAGGTTGTTTGGTTCTGATTCTCTTTCATTCAGACATGGATTCCCCACCCCAACATCCTTCTGCACTTCGGCCTTGTCATGATTACTAGCCTCTGTAACTGGATTTGAAGAATGGAAATACTTTGTTGACGTATTCTCTTCAGTGAAGAGCCTATCAATATTAAGATCGTCATCCATCTCCCCATCCCTACCACCCTCCTTACCAATATTATTGAAGGACTCGACCTCTGAGTCCTTATCCAGTAAACTTCATTCAGCCCATCCATCATTGCCTTCTTCGTTTTCCTCCATGTGGAATCTTTCATACCTCGGATTACATCAATCATCTTCAGATTTTCATATGTTCTCTGTCACTGTCGCTGTCCTGTGACCCACTGTAGCTTCACCTTCGATCCCTTATCAGAATCAATGGTATCCATTGTATCAGCTTGGAAAGATGACAGACCTTTTTTATTGTGCCCTATCAAAGATGTAGGAACTCGACTCACATGACATTTTGAAAATTTAAGCCAAAACCGATGGACCCCAATAAACTAAGTAGAATGTAATTTTCCCTTGTCATTTTTATCTACTTCTCCAATACCAGAAACACCTTGGTTGCCTAAGCTGTATCCATGATAATTTTGAGTTCTTGTTCTGCTACACTCCATTCTATTGTTCTTTGTTATTTTAACAAAGTGTCTTGCAACATTGTTCCACCATTCTGTTTTACTCAAGGCTTAAATTATCTATAATCATTGATACAACATTAGTATTTATAAAAGCACATATAAAGATATGTTATTAGAAATTAAAAGCAGTGTTATTCTTAGATGCTTTATCATGCAGGTTGCACAGTTACGGCAGCGCTTTTTCCATTCTATTGCTCCAGGAGGGCTTGCTGGGGACAGACGTGGTGTTGTCCCTGCTTCAGGGTTTGCTTTCAGTGCACAGCAAATATGGAAAATTATAAAGGAGAACAAGGACCTTGATCTTCCTGCACATAAGGTATTTATTTGTACTTGGTACATGGGAATTTCTATGTTTTTTATACATAATTATACCATTTTATTCTGTGTTTTAGGTAATGGTTGCAACAGTTCGATGTGAAGAGATTGCCAGTGAAAGTCTCAGCCATTTGACTTTAGATGAGGTAGTGAAAGCATCTATGCACTATTTTCCTGCTACTTGAGCTCTGGAAAATTTTTTCTGAGGCACTTGTGCTGATGTTCTTTAGGGTTGGATAGAGCTAGAAGCAGCTGTTCAGGCTGGGCCAGTGCCAGGCTTTGGGAAAAATCTCAGTTCAATTTTAGAAAAATATCTATCAGAGTAAGAGAATTTCTGTTCTGGGTCACATAAATTCAATTACTTCTACTTTCACATTAGTTCTATGCTTCTCAGTTTCTTTTGATAGCTAATAAAAAATTGTTAAGAGAAAAAGAAAATGTATATAAGTCTCAACTCCAATCAATTCAATCCTACTTCCAACTATTTTGGCATACCTGATCAACATGATAAGTTTGTTCATTTGGCATACCTCAGCAAGCTGAACCTTCTTGACCCACCATCCTTCTTTGTAGCCATCCCTTCATCTACCAACCTGTCTGCCTCATTAAAACCTTCACTCTTCTAAACCGCATATTACCATTCATTTTCTTATCTGAACTTGGAGAGGCAATCCTTCTGGTTCCTTTGTTAACTTAGATATACCCTAATATGACTAAGAAAAGCCAGCCTCTCCTCTAAATACTTAATTAATTCAGAAGGATCCACATCCATGCGTTGGTGGGCCCATTCGTGTGTTTGATGTAACCAAGGGATTGTCCCCATGCTGGGCGACCTCCTCTCTCTTTTTCAATAGATCTTCCTTGACCTATATAATGGTCTTATTTCTATCTGTTGACATTCATGGAAGATATGGATTTTGGAGCTTTAGTTCTCTGGTTAAATGTGCAAATAATGAGGGTTTTTACATTTTGGAGGTTTAATTTCATTCTTGTGCGTTTATTTCAGATACAACTGGACACAAAACAAAATCATGGTTTTCAATCAAAAATAAATATCTAATTTAGTTTCCTATGTCAAGTAAAAAATCCACCCAAAGGCTTTTTAGACTTTCCAGGATAGTAGGTCCTTAATTTAGTTTCCTTCTCTCTTCTTCTTTTGTTATTTCTTTTTGTTTTTCCTGCTGAAGCTACATCAGAATTCTGATCTACTGAGAACAGCACCTGCCATCTGTTTTTAAAGGTGGGCATTGAGCACGAGGAGGATGACCTTCATTCCTACTGAAGAGGGGTTTTTGTGACAAATTGAGTCCTGTCAAAATGTGAAATTAAGTCTTTTGAAAATGTGGAACTTTCACATCGGCCATTTGTCTTTTGGATCAATAAAACTTTTGTTTCCTAACTTTTTTTATTCAGTTTCAAATTTGAGTCCTCAATATGAAGTCCGTCACTTGTCAAAGTAATGTAGAACCACATCTTTTGCCAATAATAGAAGAATTAATATTGCTTTTTATTTGATACATACTATGTTTGGGGCCCATATACTACTGCTTACATAAGATGGAATAATGTGAAATAGTACTTTAAAAAGCATCTAAAGTTTTTTCTTGAAAAGAAAGGAGTAATTCATTAAAGCTCATGTACTTATGCTCCACAATAAAATGGAGTTTCTAAGAGGAAGAACAGACATGTCATAGAAGCTTCTAGAGGGTTATTGTTCTAGATGCATGTTCCCACTCGTTTCTAGGGAGATACTATTGAAACAATTGTTTATCTCATTAATAGGCTTCAATCTAGAACTCTTAGTCTTCTTCAGTCCCCTCATCAGCTCCTTTTCCCTGATGAACCAATTTTTAATTTAACTCTTGGGGTCTTTGGTTGTATTTATTTTGTTCTTGATATGAGTCCTTCAAGGCATAAGTTTGATCATAAGTCTATAAAGTGTTTCTTTCTTGGTTTATTCCCCTATCTAGAAGGGATACAAATGCTTTAATCCTCATTCTAGAAGGAGAAATGTATCTAAAGATGTCACCTTTCTTAAGTTCTCTTCTTTCTTTCAGTCATTCGTCCTCTTCAAGAGGAATGTGTCAATGAAGATCAGACTCCCTTGTCTTCCTTTTCTTATACCTGTAAGTCCTAGTCCATCTTCTTCTTATCCTATTTGTAATATTCCTTCACATCCTTTTCCTCCTTCAATTGGCCCTGGTCTTAGTAGCAATTCTTCATTAGGACAAGTAAAAGGGTGACTCCTAAAGTTGAACATTCAACAATTTGATTATCCGGTGGACTAATATCGAACTTGCAATCCTTGTTCATTCTAAGCTTGTAGGTACCTCTGTTACAAAACCTAATCCCTTAAATTCTGACCTTGATTTCCCCTCTACTATCTAGAAGGGAAAAAGGAGATGCACCAACTATCCCATTACTAACTATGTATCTTATGGTGCTCTCTGACCATCCTATTGTGCCTATATTTATGTTATTTCTTCCATTTCCATTTGTCATAATGTTGCAGAATCAGTGCAGTCACCTCAATAGGAGGCTACAAACTAGAATCAGTGCAGCCCTCATAAAGAACCAGACTCGGGAAATTGTTCCTCTTCCTAAGGATAAGGTTCTAGTTGGATGCGAGTGGGTGTACACTATTAAACACAAGGCCGATTGATTCAATAAAGAGATACAAGGCTCATTTAGTGGCCAAAGGGTATACTCAGACCTATGGCATTCATTGGTTACCATGAGACATTTTCTCTTGTGGCTAAAATGAATTTTATCCAGTTGATTATGTCCTTTGCTGCCCACTGTTGTTGGCCTCGATATTAGATGAATGTGAAGAATGCTTTCCTTAATAGGGACCTACCTCGAACAAGAATTATACATGCACTTACCTCCAAGAGTGAGCTTTCCTAATAGTAAAAAATCACCTAGAGCTTGATTTGATAAACTCAAAAAGGCAGTGTTAAAAATTGGATTTTCTCAATCTTAGGATGATCACACTCAGAAGGATGGCTGATAACTGAGTGATTATGTTGATAATGTATGTTGATGAGATTTTGTCATTTTGAATGACCCTTCAAGAATTATCCAATTGAAGTCCTTTCTTGCTTTTCAGTTTGAGATTAAGGACCTAGGTTATCTTAAATACTTCCTATGAATTGAATTTGCAAGATCAAAGAAAGGAATTTCTATTTCATAGAGAAAATATGTTCTTGACTTTCTCCAAGAAGTTGGGAAATTGGGGTACAAGCCAGCAGAGAGCCAAAGACCCCAATTGACCTCAATCAGAGATTGGTTGATTTCTTTCTTTACAAGTGCTATAGATGGAGATTTTCTTCTAGACAGAGGGATTCATCAGAGATTGGTTGATTTCTTTCTTTACTTGTGCTTGACTAGGCTAAGCCAATTATATCCTATGTGACTATGTCTTCGTAAGGGAATGCTATACTCCAATCAAAAGGGATGAACTAGGCCAATTATATCCTGTCTTTCAGTCCAAGTTGGGAAATTGGTCTTCTCACATTGCAAGCAATCAACAAGATTCTTGCCTATCAAAAGGGATGTCTTGGTAAGGGAATGGTATACTCCAATCATGGGCATCTGAACTTACACAGATGCAAACTAGGTAGGATCTATTGTTGATAGGAGATCTACATTTGACTATTGTGCTCTAGTAGGGGGCAAGGTGGTATCCTGGAGAAGAAAAAACAATAAATTGTTGCTCATTCTAGTGAAAAGGAAAATATCGAGCAATGGACCATGGAGTATCTAAATTGTTATGGTTAAAAACCTTATTAACAAAGATGTCTATTCATACTTAATACTGATGAGACTCTATTGTAACAACCAAGCATCTATAAACATTGCCCATAATGCTGTCCAACATGACCCTTAAAACACATTGAAGTGGACAGTCACTTTATCAGAGAATAGATAGATAGTGGAGAAATATGCTTACCTTTTGTGAGATCAAAAGACCAAATTTCTTATTGTCTTACTAGGGGAGTTCCAAAGTCAAAATTTGACAGTAATTTGGGCAAGCTGAGCATGATAGAAATCTATGCTCCGCTTGAGGGGGAGTATTGTAAATTTTTATTTGAATGGGTATTATTGTCTTTTACATATTTTTGTATTGGAGTGCCCAAGTACGGACATATTTGTAAATTTTCAATAAGATAAATTTAAAGATTTGTGGATGTGAACAGTAACACACCACTTTTGACACTCTCTCTTCCCACCTTCCCACCTTTTCTACTTATTTTTGACTACTTAACCCTTTTTCTTTTTGGCCTGCAAGCCTGCTTTTTTCTTCATTTTATTCTTGGTTTACATCCCGAACAGTGTTATTTGGATGGCCAAAATTTGTGCTATTATTAGGCCCTAAAATTTGTGTTAATTTGATTTTGAACAAGTTTTCCATTGTTTCTCAAGTGATCATGTACATATAAACAACTACTTGTATAGAAGTTCAGAAGTTCCTTAGATTTAGTTTTCTTTGAATTCAGATAATATTCCTTAATTTGTTTGATTTGGAAGTTACTTTCTTGCTAATGTTTTCTATCCTTCTCTACAGGTATGACATGGAAGCAATTTTCTTTGACGAAGGTGTTAGAAATGCAAAACGAAAAGAGTTGGAGTCGAAGGCATTACATGTGAGGCTGTTCACTCTTTTATGATTGAAATTATATTGTTCTTTACATCCTTATCCTGTTGGTTAATGACACTTATTTGTTTAGTTGGAAACTTTCTATATGCTTTCTACTTGAACATAGGCATCTCCAAGGCTATGGATTTTTTAAAATAGAAAACCTAAATCCCGGGGCAGTTGCCTAGGTTCATAGCAACCAGCAATCATCTTTCACTAATAATTACTAATAACCTTCATCACGTAAGTATAAAATTCATATCAAAATATTGAAAATCAACATATTACTGATATTATTATTAGTAGTGGTTATTGCTATTTGTGAGCTGAATGCTGTATTCGAAGTAGAGAAGTGAAGAAGAAAACCACTGGTATGCTGGAAAATGTCGAACTGAACTGCCCAGTCGACCAGCTATTATTTATATTTGAATGTAGTACAATGATACAAGAATTTACTGGAATGCCCCTGATTAGTGATGGGACACCCAGTTAACTTAAAAACATTAAACAGGCTTAGGCCCATTAACCCAGGCCCAGTTACAGGATAACTTAACTTAAGTATGGGCTAATAAGACTCTTATCAGCCGAACACTCATACAAAGAGACCTAGTTCTAACATTCTAACACTCTAACACTATTGTTATAACAATAACAACAACAACAACAATAATAATACCTGCTCATCCACGGATGAAGATAGTGATTTGGATGAGAGTTCCATAGGAAGCATCGATGTTGATTGCAGGAGAGAGGAGACCAATGAGTCACTCAATATGGAAAGGACTTTTCAGGAAGAAGGGATAGAAAGTGTTAATTTGATGAGTCATTCCCTGTTTGAACAATTACAGAACCTCAATCAATGTTACAAATAGCTGGAAGATCATCAAAACTCAACCCTAGACGAGAAGGATTCACTTTTAAATCAAGAACAGATGCAGACTTTACGTACCATGGTTGAAGAATCAGAATTGATGCTAAGCAAGGAAAACTAGCTATGGATAGACAGAAGGGAAACCATTCGCAGAACAGTATTGAGCCTAAGAAGGATATCCTTTGCACAATTGCCCCAGAAACTAGAAAACGTTAAGTTCCCTTAGGTTCATATGGAGGTTTTTAGTCTTAGTTCTACTTCAGCTCCTTTCCTGGCCTCAAACCAAGGTATGGCATATGCAAATTCTCTTTTGGATACTGACACTATTTTAGTGTCTTTCACAAAAAAAGAAAGGCTCAGCCTCTTGTCATTTGGTAGATTAGTGTAGAGGCAATAGTGGATGGAGAAAGGGGAAAGAAGTAAATATGAATCATGAGTACAGAAATAATGGAGAGGAGGTATGGAGGTAGTTGAGTAACCTATTTGAGAATATGAGGATTGAAGACACAAATGTTAAAATGAATAGAAGTGGGGGGAATAATTGAGAAAATGCAATCATCAAAGTATTATCAAAGGTTATGGAGATTGAAAATAATGAAACAAAAAGTGGGGTAGAAATGGAAAAAAAATACATTTCAATAGTTGATTTGGGGGAAAGTAAAAAATTACATAATAAGTAGAAGATGAAAGAAGTAGGGTAGTGATGCAGTACGTCAATGTAGAGGAGGAAGAGAATACCAAAGAGAGGCAACCTCAGGAGAGAGGAGAAGATGGGTGAAAGAAAGAAAACCTCAAGTAATAGGTACATAAGAAAACCCGGGACAGACAAATAGAGGGGAAAAAGGAAGGAATCATGGAGTGCAGATGGAGAGTAATGAAGGGAAAACGAAGCAGAAGAGGAAGAAAGGATGGGGAGAGGAGAGATGAAGACAATTTGAACCATTTTGTAGAAAAGATCGGAATTAAGGTAGAGTGTCAAAAAAGGTTAAAGGTTATGATAGGAGAGTAGGGAAGGGAAAGAAGAGGAAGAGAAAGATGAATGAAGTAGGAAGGATGAAGGTGGATGTGGGTGGTGACTAGGAAAATAAGGAGAAGTGAGGATGAAAAAAGAGTATAAGAGAGAGGAGATGAAGATAATGAGTTGAATAGTAAGACCATTGGGTAGTTCTAGGAAGGGGAAGGTGATAAATGAGGTACTAAGAAAATTATTGAAATGTATGCCCTCAAGGGGCATTTTAGCCTATTATGGATGCATTCGTGGGAAGGACATACCGCCACCGGCAGCAGCAGTGAGGGGGGCCCACACGGCAGCTTATCTTGCCGCATCAGCTCATCTGCTCGCCAATAGTTTATCTTGCCAGCTCGCCAATAGTTTACTTATTCCAGTTCTGTTCTTACTTATCTATTAGAGATAGGAGCTAAGTTCTATTAGAAGTCTGTTAGAAGTAGGAGTTTGATTTAAAGTTGGATTGTCCTAGCTTAGTTGAATGGAATAAGGAGTCTCCTCTTGTAATCTCCTATTTAAGGAGCTGTGATTTGGGAATAAAGCATTTAGTTTTCCAGTTAAGAGAAGAGTGAGGAGAGTTCGGGTGGTCTCTTGGACAAATCACCCATTCGGTTGCCACAATAGGGTCTGCACGCAAGGGAAGGCGCAAGGGGAAGCAAGAGGTTCTCCCCGTGGACCGACTTGTGACGAGATCCTATGCCCGGGCCCATAACATTCTGGTATCAGACCCTTGTCCATGCGATCTCCCAGCATTGGATCAGCAAACTACTGGGTTTCGATTTTCGGGTAGACTACAAGGCGGGAACCTTGAACCGTGCAGCAAATGCCTTGTCTCGCCGAGCAGAAGAAGACAATATGCTCCTCCATGCGATCTCCCAGCCTTGATCCACCCTGTTGGAAGACATCCGAAACACGTTGCCACAATCACCAGAGTGGAATGATCTAGTCCAGAAGATACAGTCCGGCATGACCAACCCAAACTGGTCCATGCACGACGGGCTAGAACTCTACAAGGGACGAGTATATCTTCCAGTCGACTGTCCCTTAATCCCCTTCGTCATCTCCAGCATACACAACTCCACGCATGAAGCTGTCTAGAAAACATTGCACCGCATCCACGCCAATTTCCACTGGCAGGGCATGAGGGCTTCGGTCTGGGACTTCATTCAAAGTTGCTCTATGTGCCAACAACAAAAGTGGGAAAACTTGCAACCAACAGGCCTTCTCCAACCACTTTAACTCCCAACTCAGATCTGGGCCGATATTTCCATGGATTTCATTGAGGGCCTACCCAAGGTTGGTGGGAAATCGGTCTTATTCGTGGTGGTGGACCGTTTTTCCAAGTATGCTCATTTCCTTCCCTTATCTCACCCATATAACGCAGTCTCAGTCGCCCACGCCTTCTTCACCCATATTTTCCGATTGCATGGGCTACCCGAATCCATCATCAGTGACAGGGACCCGATTTTTACTAGCGCTTTCTGGAAGGAGCTATTTCGACTGAAGGGAACAGCCCTAGCCTTCTCCTTCGCCTACCATCCGCAGACTGACCGCCAAACGGAGGTGGTAAACCGAACAATAGAGATGTACCTCCATTGTTTTGTGGGAGCCACGGCATTGGGTGGAGTACCTTCCGTGGGCCAAATACTGTTACAACACATCTTATCACTCCTCTCTTGGCATGACTCCCTTCCGGGTTGTTTATGGTCGGGACCCTCCCCGTCTATTTTCTTACGAACCAGGTTCAACACGGTTGGAAGAAGTGGATCGAGGCCTGCAGGACCGCGATGCCCTCCTCGCCGAAGTCTCCCTACGCTTACAGCAGGCTCAGGCACGCATGAAGAACGCCTACGATCAGCACCACAGGGAATTAACCTTTGAACCCGGACAGTTCGTATGGCTGAAGCTCCAACCCTATCGACAGCACTCCCTCAGGCGCAGAGCTTTCCCTAAACTGGCCCCCAAATTCTACGGGCCCTTCAAGATTTTACGGCGAATCGGGAAGGTTGCATATCAACTCGAGCTACCAGACCACAACAGACTCCATGATACCTTCCATGTTTCCTTACTCAAGCCATTTACAGGGACTCCTCCGGAGAAGATACCTCCCCTGCCACCCTTAAAGGACAGCAGACCCATTCTCCAACCTCGGGCTCTTGTCCTGTCCCGCGTCAATCGGGGGACCTTAGAA